CCGTCTGCAGTATCCCTCTCTCTGCATAGCCGTGTGTGAAGGACCGATGGCTCTGATGCCGATTTATTTGGCAAAATGTTCATATTGATTTGTGTTCATCATTATTCTGCCACTAGATTAAAAAAGTAATAATCTATTATTATCTAGAGACTATTAATAACAGGAGGTGAAATGCAGCTCCAGATGAGCCGGGCATGTGGTGATGTCATCAGTACACCAATTGATCCATATTTATGCTGCTTTCTCCCAAAGTCCAGACTTTCCTGGGTTCTTCTGAAGGACAGACATGGCGAGGAAACGAGTCCGTTCTAGTGAAATGAGAAACGGCCTTTCTCATAGGCCGTTGACCTGGCTATGAATTGAAAAAGCTTCCTGGATGGGAAGCTAAGCATCTTCAAACTTAAACAAAGTCCAGTAGATATATTTTTTAACTTTTTCAGAATGACTATGACCTGGATGACTGACAATCTTCACCAGCAAAGGAATAATGTTCAGCTTTATCATTTAATACTTTTACCATCAGAGGCTTAATGCCAGACAGTAGCTGGTGGTTGATTGTCCCTGGATTTCACTTTGCTTTGTGCTTTGATTGCAGACTCCGTACTGCCCCCCCCACTCTGAGCTCCTAGAGGAAGCCCTGGAGGTGTTTTACAGCTTCCTCACTTGGCCCGAGCCGTACTGCAGTGTGTGCAGGGAGCTCCTCTCCATGCTGCAGCTGGAGATCAAGGCACCTGGTGAGCATGAAGGAAGCAGCAGGAGAACACGCCCTCTAGGTCTCTGGTAGGAGATACGCATCTAGGAGCCAGAGGTTGCACGCTGCAGCCGCAGAGAGGGAGGATGATGTCACAGCTTCAGGATTCATGGGAACTTCTTCTTCTATGAAAGAGGATGTAACGGTTCCCCCTGACGGAACCAAAGAAATAGGAACTGTATGTAAAGTTTAGCAGAGAAAACTGCAGCAGGGACACAGACACCGCAACCATTACAATAACTGAGCATGAATGAATGTCAGTGAATATATTTGCCCTATATGCCTGTGCTAGCCTCACTCAGACCAGGTTACTGCTAATAAAGACTGAATAAAGCGCATCTTAGCTGATTCTACGTCTTTTTCTCACTTTTCTTGCAGGAATTTCCTTTCAGAGGCTGGTTAGAGAAGAGCAGGGTCTGAACACCCCCGACCAAACTTCAAAGACCATGTAAGTCCAGCCTGTAGCTGCTGACCTCATCCTACAGCGAAATATAAAACCAATCATCCTGAGGCAGCGAATTCTGAAATGCACATCAGAATCCCAGTTCTCTGCAGTCTTTGTCACGTGGTGAAACGTTACGACTGCAGATCAAATGCTGATCTCATGTGATAGACCAGCAGCACTGTTTGTTTTTTGTTTTTTCCTGTCAGATTTTCCAGGAAGTAGCCATAGGTCAGTGTTTTGTCGGAGCGCCTTTAGGGTCCAAACCTGTCGATTTGTTTTTGAAGTTCTTTAGCTGAAATTCCCTCAGATTAGGTGAGGAGCATCATCATCAGACGGCAACTTCTAAATCTTGTGACTGAATTTCTCTGGGATTCATGTCCGGACTTTGACTGGCCCATTCTATCACATTAATTAATTTAACTTTATTGATCTCATATTCGAGAGATTTACTGCTGCATTTAACCCATCCACAGTGGGCTGCCATTGTATGGCGCTCAGCGAGCAGTGTGGAGTTAAGGGTCTTGCTCAGGGACCCAGAGTCGCAGTCTGTGGGAGTGGGGCTTGAACTCAGAACCTCAGGGTTCCAAGTTCTATGCCCTAACCACTAGGCCGCTCCCCCATATGAACATGAATCCAGCGCGTTCCATCGTTTGTCGAGCTGAATTTTTGTTTTTGTAGACGTGTGAAGCGAGCGTCCTGCTTCTTGGCAACCAGATTAAGCATTTAAGTAACAGCTGCCATGCTAACAGGTTCTCCCACCTGAGCTGTGCATCTCTGCAGCTCCTCCAGAGTTGCCATGGTGCCGATTAGGCAGGCCTTCTGTCAGACCAGCATACCCATAGTCAAAACCCGTTTATCGCTTTAGTTTATCTTTTTAAGTTTTGTGCTAAAAGTAAACTTTAACGTACCTCAACCTGCGCGTATCTACGGAAGAGGATTAGGGCCACAGGAAAAAAACAAAAAGTTAAATGATTTTTAAAAATATTTTTCAATTTAACATGGGAAAAAAGTCAGAATTCTGACTTTTTTCTCAGAATTGTGGATCTTAATGTAGATGGGCACCATGAAGGCAGAAATGTGGAGCACTCAGCTTCACTGACATAGATGTGAGTTGTTTGAGGTGGCCAGTGACACATTGGTGGAAAATGACGGAATTAGGCAACTTTTTACGTGCCTGAGGGGTCGCCTCATTAATGGAGGAGCAGAAGGTCATTAAAAC